AGCGACAGGTTCAACCCTGCGGCTCGCGTTTTAAGCTGAACACGCCGCGTCGCACGTAGAACGCCGCCCCAAACCAACTAAATTTACGGCTTCACGCCGCACAGTTGCCCGACCGTCGCCCCAAACGGGGCCTAAGGCAGCTGCATCAAAGACTATGTTGATAATTGAGGATAAACTAGCCTTGAAATGTCAATGGATATTATGCAACTTTTTGAACGTTATAAGGAAATTAACATGCATAGCACACAATTCTTATGTATTTATATATCTAATACCTAAACTTTCATATTTACATAACATAGAACTTCGGCGCTTTAAAACTATGCCATGACAAATCGAGATTAAATCAAGCTAGTTTTTAACGAAAATTGGCTCAGTTCAAGATTGGATAGGTAGTAGGTTATCGATACTTTTACTTTCTAAATGGATAATCTGAATATTATCAAATACCTATGACACGGAATGTTATAATAAAATAAAATGAAAAATCTTAATTAAACATGATCAGACAGGCTTAAACCAACTTGAACATAAACATTAGGACCCTGCCAACAAACTTTCAATTTTCCCATTTGATCTAAATATTAGTACCCTACCTACAAATATTCTCGTTTCATCTCTCTAAGGGAATCGAAGAAGGGGAGAGGAAGCGAACAAGTTGGAACATGAAAGGGTACTTTTGTTTTATAAAGTGACGTGAATGAAGGAAATGAGATAACAACAGAGAGAGCAGATGAGGAATACGAGTCAAGCAATTATCTTATCGAAGTGTTGAGGTCGTGCGAAGGAGAGGAGGACACCGCGGTTTGGTGCGGGAGAATGTATCTTTGAGCAAGTTTGGGCAGCAACGCGGTGCTTGCATGGAGGAGGAAGGCTGGATGTGAGCTGTGTTTTGTTGACCCACGATCGAAAGTAGAGAAAGCAGTCGAAGAGGAAGAACACTGTGGTTCTATAGAGGAGCTCTCATAAGGACTAGACCTGATGACTCCACTCTCAAGAAGAGGCGAGGAAGTGTTTGCGCACGGAAAGGGGGAAGACTTGATGGTGAGGTAAGAGTTTTGATAATTTTCATTTATGAAATTATTATATTATTAATAACTAATTATTAATTATTATTGTAAGATTTAATTAAATCAGAATTCAAGCTATAAGACATTTTAAATTAAGATTGAGAACGAGAACAAGATTAGAATTTTATTACCAAATATATTCCGTATAAATTAATAATATTTAATATTAATTTCAATGATTTAATTTAAAATTTAAGTATTGAGATCCCAACTAAAATAATATAATTTATGAAATTTGTATATATGCAATAACATAACTTATAATAATAATAATAATAACAATAATACTTTAAAAATTTTAATCAAATACAAATAAACACTTGCACAATCATATTCAGCTTCGAATAATTATCTAATCAATTAAATAATATTTACTCTTAATCAAATTTTTTTATACTAATTATACAAAATATTAAATTTTTTCACACTATTCAGAAAATTAAAATTTAATATTTTTAAATATATCGAGCAAAACCCCACACGCACAAATAGACGAATTCAAAATGAATCAAACACGAACACAAACACCATATTCACAAACAACTTTGAAAACAAGCAAAGTTTAAATAAATAAATCTGGGAAACAATGAGGACTTGAATGTAAAAACAGAATACCAAATCTGCAGAAGCAGATTATTACTCGATTACACTACAAAACAAAACAAAAACAAAGTCAAAAGATTGCAGCTTTTGTTTTCTACAACATCAGGTTACCGTTACACATTCTGCTGCTATCGTTACACAGTTCAGAAAAATCTATATATTTCCCCATAAACCCCTAAGTATTTGTCACTTTGATTACACCTCATTCACAATATACATATTGAATACTAACAGAAAACACCAAAAAGAAAAAAAAAAGAAAAAAAAAAGAAAAAAGTCAGTTTTATTTCCATATGCCTACCATTTATTTACACAGCCTGCTATAGTTTTCATTCCACAATTAGTACTGAGAAGAAATCTGGGCTGCATGCTGTGGTAGACTAAAAAGTTCTCTATCTGTACAAAAATTCCTTCCCCACCTTCAGTCAGGAACTCGCACTCATCCCCATCCTCCTTTCTGCAGAACAAATTCAGGAGTTTCAGTGCAGGTTTTTATGAATAAACAAAAACTGCAAAAAAAGGAGAGATTTTTATTTATTTGTTTACCTCCAGCGGCAATTAATTTCTCAACTCTTGCGACAATGTGCTTCCCGTAGGTATACTTTTTTAATGCGTTTAGGTGGACTTTGATGCGTGAGAGTATGAGTTCACGGTTTTGATCGTCGCAGGTCTCCAGAACTTTTTGCACGACGTAGTTTGCAAATTGATCCTTCATCATTGCCTGCAAATTTATTTACAGAATCGACATTCAAATTGACATTTTTAAACAGCCAACAATGAAAAAAAGGGAAATTTACATGCTATGTATTTATGTATCAAATAGCTAAATTTCAATTTTTACTTATATGCTGCACTTATCTATGCATGAAAATGTGTACTTCAATTTTTAAATGCTGCACTTATAGTTATAATAGTGATATTTTTGATATTATAGTAAGGAATTGGATGGTATAAACTTAAAATGTAGAATCTAGATCTTAGATATGTAAATGCATAGGAATTGGGTGGTATGTATGTAAATGCCTCTAAAAAAAGGAAATTTTACATAAATACCATACAATTCCTATGTATTTACATATCTAACGCTTAAAATTTAATATTTAAGATTTTTAAGACTTTGGTTTCATCTAACGCTTAAAATTTAATATTTAAGATTTTTAAAATTTAACATAAATAACCTATGCACGAAAAGGTGTATTTTACTTCAAAAAAAAAAAGTAAGCAAAAGGAGGATTTGAGTATTATGCATGTAAATATGAAAGTTTAGTTGTTAGATGTACAAATATATAAGGAATTTATACTATGTCTGTAAATGCCCCTAAAACAAAATCCTTAAATAAGCTGGATGAGAGTGAAAGAAGGTGAATCCTTTGAAAAGGATATGGAAAAAACCAGAAAGTACAGGGTGCAAAATGAAATAATGGAAATAATAGGTGTGAACATCGAATAAATCTAAGGTGGTTTGTGCATGATACAAAGTGAAAAAAGAGAGAGTGATGAGATAAGTAATTTAAAATACTAGTATTCTCCGGTATTCCCTACTATATTATGCTATAACATTATATATTATCTTACATTATACCATATGAGGAATCACAAACAGGCAAAAAAATTCCTCAAATTGGCCAAAAAAAAACACCATTTCCGACTTAAATAGCAATGTTTTGAGATGTGGATCTTCAGTTATCCTGGAAGATTACCAAACTAACGAAAAAAGAAAAGCTTTTCACAAAGCTTGAAAAAGAAAAACAAACCTGCAAAGGCTCATTCTCATCATTGGGTCCAAGCATCTCTTTTATTAGAAGAAGACGTTCCTCAGGTTTACCAAATGTCAAGCATTTCTCAATAACGTTTGAAGCGAATTTCTGTTGGCTCATCTTTACTATTTGGCCAGCAAGCTTGCTGATTATGGCAGACCGTTCTTCTGGTTTTCCATGTTGCAGGACGTGCTAAATTAATGGAATAAAACCTCAGTTACTCTCTTCCAAGATATTCCAATAGTTTCAATTATAGAATTACGCAAGAAATTATTGTTTGAAATCAAAACCATATTCAGTCAGCACCCACATAAGAAGAGAGAAATTCATTGAAACAGAAATAATTAAGTCAGCAGTAGATAGATTAAAAAATGCTCCAATGATCATCAAGCACAAACAACAATGCTGAATCTATATATATATCTGTGTGTGCGTGTGCGCGTCTGTGTGCGAGCGCGCGCGCGCGCCGCAAGCCTTGTCATATTGGTGGTGGGGTCACTGTAAGTCCCCTCAGGTCATGGGCTCGATCCCACCAGGCTCTCAAATTTTAGGAACATGGCGTGGGCTCTCATCATGGGGCCAAAAAATGCATGGGAAATTGATATTTGGGTCTCTGCCAAATGTCAATTTCCTTTTAAGATATGTGTGTATATGTGTGTTGGTTGTGGGGTCACTATAAGTCCCCTCGGGTCATGGGCTCGATCCCACCGGGCTCTGAAATTTTAGAAACATGACGCGGGCTCTTATCATGGGGCCAAAAAATGCATGGGAAATTGATATTTGGGTCTCTGCCAAATGTCAATTTCCTTTTAAGATATGTGTGTATATGTGTGTTGGTTGTGGGGTCCAATTTCCTTTTAATATATATATATATATATATATATGGTCATTAACTTTATCGGCGAGTTAGTTCCACTAAGTAATTTTAGTGTTTGGGTCTTATTTCCACAAGACAATCAAATTAAACTAAGTTGATGGAGGATGGAGAGGTTGGCATCATTAGCAACATGGTTGGTGGAGTCCGCAGTTTTGAAGGTATTGATGCGATGTCTCGAGCAATTGGTTTGACATGGTCCCATTGGTTGTAAGTAGGGGTATGAAAAATTTGACCTGACAAGCCAACTAAACATGAACTCAATTAAAAAAATCCTAGTTTAGGTTGATGAGAATAATTTTCTGCTCGGATTTGGGTTAGGAGTTTGTTAGATCGGCACAAAAGGGCAAATTTATCTTTTATTAGTTGATGGGTGATTTAAACTTATGTCATTTATTATAGTTTACAATAAATAGGGCTAAGATGTTTATGGTTAGGGTATGCAAAATATTGTGTCTTGAGTCTTAGGTTTAGGGTTTAGGAGAGACTTCCTATCTCTCGAATAGTAGG